GTTCAATAAATATGTGAATGAGTGAAAAATTCTCCATCTACCTACTACCATTTTCCTTTCTTATGCACTAAAATACAGCACAATGTATGTGAGCCAGTAAATGAATGACCTTGAATTCAACTTGTTAATAATTATTTTTAAATTTTAATGATTTTAAGGGCTGGGGATGTAGCTCAGTGGTCTATCACTTGCCTAGCATGTGCCAAGCTCTGAGTTCAATCTCCAGAATCACAAAAAAGTTAAATTTTAATGACTGCTATAAACTGAATGAGACAGCTACTATGTCACCAAACTGTAGCTGAGAACCATTTGACAAATTATTTCTGAGCCTTTCTACTCAGAGCCAGAGTTCCCAATGAGCAGGCCACACTCAGAGCCACAGCATCTCTGCAAGGAGTCCACATGTCCCTGTGAACAGTGAACATGGCTCGAATGCTGGTCAATGTCACATATTTACACACATTTCTCCAGTGTGCAGAGGTTGCTGCACACACAAACACAAACTGTTGCCAAATTCACAACATCTTTTGGTAGTTATATATTTAATCAACCAATGAATACTACAAGCACAACAACCAGCGATGAGGTCTCAGAAAGGTGTTTAAAAAGGACCTCATATTTGAGAAGAGTGAGAAACAATGCTTCCCGACATGGTTGCGGTCTGTAAAATTAAGTCCCCTTACCCTTTTTCTAAAGTGTGCTATCTTTCATGGAGCACTCTAACTGTTTCTAAACAACTTTTTGCAGGGAAGAACAGTTCCTTATGCTTTGATCTGAAGACCTCAAAGCAATCAAATGCAGCAAAATCTCAAAGGGTAAACAGGATTGTCAAATGTCTGCCTTAGTGTAATGCATGTCAGTTTCTTCCAGGCTCATTTGCAATTTCCACATTAGCTGTATCATTTTAGGCATTGAACAAAAGAAAGTTAAAGCTTAAAACTTATTTTCTGCCAAGCGCTGGTGATTCATGCCTATAAATCCTAGCTACTCGGGAGGCAGAGATCAAAAGGGTCACGGTTCAAAGCTAGCCTAGGCCAACTGTTCAAGAGACCCTATCTTGAAAAAAACCTTCACAAAAAGGGCTGGTGGAGTGGCTTGAGGTATAGGCCCTGAGTTCAAACCCAAGTACTGCAATAATAATAATAATAGTAATAATAATTCTCTAATATACAGTGCATTAAAATGTTTAATTTTATTAAATCCTTGATCATCATGGTATTATTTTGAGGGTTTTTGTTTTTCTGGTGGTACTGGGGTTTGAATTCAGGACTTTGTGCTTGCTAGGCAGGCTCTCCATGACTTGAGACGGACCTCCAGCCCTTTTTTGAGATTTTTCTGAAAACGGCAATTATACTCTTAGAGAATATAGTAATGGTTTCCTCTAACTATAAAAATCAAGTTTATTATCTTGGCCATCATTCATTAAAGGCACAAAAGGAAGCTTATAATGGAAATTTCAACTTTTAGCATTCTAAAGGCAAACTTTTAGGCATCCCATTCTGCAAACAATTAAGTCTGAAAGTGGTCATTTTGGTCTTTCAGTTCTCTTCCCGTGTTTCTATTCCCTACAAATAATGTGATAAATGTAATTTTGGATTTAAGAGCATTCAAATGACTTTTACTTTGTGAATCTGAGTGTCATGGAAATTCTGGTGAGCACAAGTTAGACTAGGTTGTCTAGAAATGAGGCTAGCCATCTTTGTTTTAGACCAGAGTCTCAGGTTAATATTCCTAAGGGTTTTCCAGCCAAATGGAGGTCACCTGAGCTAAATAAGAACCTGGCCATGACAGATTCCACTTGATCTTCACTTCCTGCCTCTCGTTTTTTACCTCCTCATTTGTCTCTTTTGCTGAATAGAAGCATCAAAAGGAGCATTCTATGCAATTTAGTACAATACCTGGCATTCAGTAGTTACTTAACAAAAAAAATTATTCCTAGAAGCATGGTATTGATAGGAAATGGTCTGAAAATACACGCACTAAATAGCAAAGAGTGAAATGATACAAGCCTTGTTATATGGGATACATTTTTAGTATAGCATTAAATTTGAAATGCCAGAGGTTCTCGGGTTTTCATTCTAACCTCATAAACACTATCAACTGGCAAGTTTGGTAAGAAAGTCAGATTCCCCAGGATTTCTAACCCAATAGGCAAAAAAGTCACTTACAGCTTTGAGAAAGGATTTTGAAGCAGGGCCCTGCTAGACTACAATTCCACAAAGCCTAAGACATTGCCTGGCATAAGAAAGCAGCACAGGACATGGACCTCAAAAATGGAGAGCTGGGAGAAGCATGGAATGCCAGTGGCACCTTAACACCATCTCTTCCAAACTCTGCAGCTTACAAATGAGGAAACTGAGGCCCGAGGGAGGTGATTATTCCAGCTCTCACATATTTTTATGGCCAGAATCACCAGAAGAATGCCTATTTTCTGTCTCCCAAACTAGGACTTCCTTTCAGATCATTGCTCCTAATATATCAAGATGGCTTCTGAAAGTTAATTTTGAGTCAGAGAATACAAACAGCAACTTGGGGGCATAACTAGTGACAAGCTCTTAAACATAAGAACAGGGATCAGGCCACATTTAGATTTAAGGGTGTGGTATCCAAATCCAACAGAACTGCCAATTGTAGCAAAAATTCAATGGCAACCTCCTTTTACCCTTTCCCTCTTCTCTGCTATCCAAATCACTGTGAGTGACCCAGGATGCTAATTAACGTACAAGAAGTCAGGCAGGGAACAGAAACAAGTAGTGACAACCTTTAAGGAAGCAATATTTAAATAATTTAAATGGCCTAAAATAATTCTCACAAAACTATATTTTGTACATTCACAAGGGATTTTCTTTTCCAGTACTGAGGTTTAAAACCAGTGCCTTGAGCTTGCTAGGCAGGCAGGTGCTCTACCACTTGAGCCATACCCCCACACCAGTTTCCTTTAATACATCTGAAAATGGTCCAAAAGTTTTATCCTGAAGAATCTGGTTTTGATGTATACTAGACAGATGCTGTCTGCCATTGATTGAGTCTCCCTGACTTCTTATGTTTCCTGCTTCCTATAGCTATGGGTATCCAAAGGCCTTTACCAATCTGGTCTGGTTCTCACTGACACTTTCTCTTCTCTAAGGTTTTCTTTTCTCCACTACTTCCAACTTCCTATTGGCTCATCGTCCTCATTACATTTTTCATGTCATAAATTTAAATTGTAGAGTAGCACTAAATCCCCAAATAAATCTGAAGACTTAGATGCCAAAACTTTTGTCCCATAAAAGTGTTCAGATGCAAAGCAATTTATGTGAAACCTCAGCTCTTGCAAACAGCACTTGATCAAACACAAAGTAGGCACCTAAAGTTGGATTATGAAGTACTTGTCTTTACACTCATATTAAGTATTTAACTAGATTATACTGCACAAAGATCATAAAATAGAGGTCCCTCAAGGAGCCTAAATCTCTTGAAGCAAAATACAATAGTTCTTTCAGTCACATTCAAGCAGTACACTTAAAAGAGCATTAGCAGGGATTACATTTCACTTCCAATCCACAGGGACTAGAATACAAAGGCGGTGCCAACTGCTGCCTCACTGTCTCATTGTGTTTGACTAGCAAAGAGCAAGGCTGTGTGCCACCAAAGGGCCCCAGAGTAGGACACAGGAGATGTGGGTTCTAATTTATCTGGCCCCAGGAGCAATTCCTACAAACTGCACAGTACTTTGCTTGTAACAGATGCTCAATGAGTATCAGTTGAGCGGAACTGCAAAAATCACCATCGTGTTTATAGAAAACTTAAAGATCTTTGTGTCTCTGTCCTCACAAAAACTGAAATCCAATTATGTAAATTCTAGGCAGTATGGTGGAAGGAAGAGTTAAACATTGCTTGACTATTATGATTTACAGTTGTTACCTTGAAAAAGCCTTGCAGAGTAAATTAAGTATTTCCATTTGATACACAGAAAACCAGGCTCAGAGAAGGTATTCATAATCACACAATTAGTAAGCTGAGGAGCCCAGATTCTAATCCAGGTCCACAGAGTCCACACTATTTGTAGTATGTAACACATTCACACCCATCAAGACAGCTCAGGAAGAGATGAGGACTTGGGACTAAGTCTCATTTCCACCAGGAAATTGTTGCAGATCTCTGGACAGAACACTTTCTAGCAATTTTTCCATCTGCACGACTGGGGCTGGGGCTTGGGGTGGGGGGAGATGAACCAGATCAGTGGTTCCTGGTTTGGTTTTGTGGGACAATTATCAAAATCCTTTGGGGACCTAACTAAGATAGTCCTTTCCTTGCCTTGCTCTTTCAAATTATTTGGGAGTGGTACCCTGGGCTATTAATGGAAATGTATATATCCCTCAAGTGAATGCAGCAGAAAAGAAGTGAGGGCTCCAAGTCTCTCCCCAACCCCCACCTCTGAGACTGGGGACGTCTCAAAGTTAAGAGACAACTTATGTAGTCGTGGGTCCGCGTTTCCCAGCCAGCGCTCGCGGACGAAAGGAACGGATGTCTGTGTTGTGCATTTCTTGAGCGGCCTGCACGGGCTCGTCTCAACCCCAAGAGAAACTTAGGGGATCAAACAGCCAGGGGCTGGCTGGCTTGATCATCCGGTGCTCGGGGTGGCCGGCTGCGGCCCGACCCGCGGCGCCGGTTCGGGAACCACTTCCTGGTCAGCACCTCCCGCCGCGTCCACGCCCCCACGGCTGCCTGCCCCGCTGCACCGGGGAGGGGAAGGACGGTCGTCGGACGCCCGGGTGAACGCCCGGCCCGGCTCCAAGCGGCCGGCGGACGAGACCCCAGCGATTTAAAACACAACGCTCTGGAACCCCAACTTCCCCGGCGCCCAGCCCGCCCTCCGGGATGCAGGGTCGAAGACCCGGGCCCAAGGAGCCCCGCCCGGCCGCGGCCCCGCCAGGGACCCAGGTGCGCCGCGCCGCCCGACGCCTCGCCCGTAGTCGTCCCGCACCTGTCGCGCCGACGCCCACAGGACCTGCGCTCACCTCGTCCCAGGGGCCCACAGCCCGTCCCCGCGCCTCCGGGCCCGGCTCCCACAGCCGTCTCCGCCAGGGCCCCCGCCGCGGCCGCCGCCCACTTTCGGTTTCCCCGCACGGCCGCAGCCGGCCCCGCGGCTCGGGAATCACCTCAAGCCCCTGCCCCGCCCCGCTCCGCTCGGCCCCGCCCCGCCGCGCCCCGCCCCGCCGCGCCCCGCCCCCAGGCAGCCCGGCTCGGCTCTGCGCACGCGCGGGCGTCCCGGCCGCGTCGGCCCACGCCGGCGTCCGCGCGTGGGGAGGGGGGGAAACCGACGCCGCCTAGCGGTTTCTGCGCGTGCCCACGCAGGGGCCTCGGCGGAAGACAGCTGCAGAGTGGACGCAGGCGCACCTCCTCGGGGACAGCGCAGGTACGCGGGGGCTGGGACTCTGCGGGGGCGTGGCGGCTGCAGCCAGTTTGGCGCTCCAGGACATCCATTGGGCCGCTCCGAACCTTCTCAGGGGTCACTCACACACTCTATAAAAATGTCAGCCTCCATCCCTGGGGTTTCCCATCTGCCTTCTACGTCTCGTTACTTCTCCTGTCTAGCACACTGTAGGTGCTTTACTTACATTCTGATTGTCTACTGTCCCAGAATTAAAGCCTTCTGGAGGCAGGGATTGTTGGTTGGTTCCCTAACCTATTCTCAAAACCTAGAATGCACATAAACATTAAATAGTTGTCAAATGTGTTCATTCTAAAATTATTGAATGCACAATATTTATTCACTCATTTCTTCTGCGCAGTAATTTCATTAGCACTGTACATCTGCTTTGCTTCAGCCACATTTTCTGCGCCATTCTACATGCATTTACCAAGAGTCTGCTTCTGATTCAACTACAGGCTTTTTACAGCTTGAGGTATAATTGAGATACAATAAGCCTCACATGTTTAAAATGTACAGTAGGGTATGTTTGACACTTATGCAGATGTATGACTATAATTGCAATAAAAGCAATGAACATATCCATCACTCCCCCCAAAGTTTACTCCTGCCGCTTTACAATTCTTACCTCCTGTCCCTCCCTGCCCCTTAGCCCCCGAGTGCTGTTCTGCTGTAATTATAGATTTGCTTGCATTTTTTTTTTAGAATTTTACATAAATGTAATCATACAGTTTGTATGACCTCTGGAGGAGGAAGGTCTGGCCTCTTTCTTTCGGCCTAACTCTATGCTGATTGAGATTCATCTACGTCATTGTATATACCAGCAGTTTGTCACTTTATTGCTGAATAGTAGTTCATTGTATGGATTACCAAACCTGTCATATGACCTAGGAATTCCACAAGAGAATTTCCCAATTCCACAAGCAATTACCCAAGAGAAATGGAAGTATAAGTACAGAAAGGGCCTGTACAAGGATGTGCAGAGCAGCTTTGTTTGCAATACCCCAAAATAGAGAAGCACAAATATCCTTCAGCAGGTGAATGGATAATTAACCAGTATATATTGAGCATCTGCTGTTGAATAACAAAACTGTATGGAGTGCTGATAAGCCTATGCTTAAAGAGATTTCCATTCCATGAAAAGATGCAGTAGGCAATGAATAGATTAGAAGAGCTTGAAAAACCTGATAGCCCTTACACAGTAGTTTGGGCTTTTTCCTAAAGGCAATGGGGAACTATTCTAAGGCTTTGAACAGGGCTGTTCTTTGAACACTGTTCTTTTTCATATTCTCACATCTGGTGCCTAACTAAATCTGCTAAATGTCTCTCTCCAAAACTTCTGTGCATCCCCTCTGTTCTGTTTCAGTCTATTTCAGATCTCTTTCTCCTTTCTGTAAACTCCAGTCTACTACAGACTGTAGTGGCTTTAATGGAACTAAAATACAACCAGCCCGATTTGGACACTGCAGTACTTATTACATCCTCTCGCTCCACATTAAGATGGGAAAGATGTTTTAAAAAAAGAAAAAAAAAGCCAGCTGTGAATTGAGAGAGTGCCAGTGGGAATAGGAAGTTAGAAAAAAACTCCCATAGTTTAGTATGCAGAATAAATCATAAAACAATGTGAGCTGACCCCAAGTCTGAACTCCTTTATCCTTGCAAAGGTGTTCCCTGTTTGGGCTGTCCATAAACAAGGAAAATGATGCTCGTTGATGAATAGTATCCAGAAAGCAAATATCTTAAGCATACAGTTTGACGAGTTTTAGCAAACATACTTAGTTGTGTATCCTCCACCACAATCAGGATGTAAAACTAGTTCATCATTCCAAAAGGTTCCCCATAGTTAATTCCTTCCCCCTGCCCCTAGCTCCTGAGCCACTGATCAAATATCTGTCATCATAGATTTGCTTTTTCTAGACTATCATATAAATGGAATCATATGGCAAGTAGGCTTTTGTGTCCGGCTCTCCCACTTAGCCATAATGGTTTTGAGAATTTTCTATGTTGTTGTACCTATCAGTAGACAGTTCCCTTTTATTGCTATGTAATATGTTGTTATATGGATGTTACAATTTATCCATTTATACCTCATGGGCATTTGTATTGTGTCCAGTTTGGTGCTGTTATGAGTAAACCACTTCCAGGACTTTGTGTAGTCAATGGTTTCCTTGCATACACTCTTGGGAAAAAAATTTCCGGTTGTAAGGTAAGTGCACACTTAACTCTGTAAGAAAGATTTGTATTCTCATTCCTGTCCACCACCCTCTGAAGTATAAGAATTCCAGTTACTCCGGATTTAGCGTTGTTGATCTTTTTAATTCAAGTGTAAGTATAGCGACATAACATTCAGGCTTAATTTGCCTTTCCCCATGGCTAATGACATTGGGCATCTTCTCATGTGTGTATTAGCCCTTTTTATATGTCCTTGGGTAAGGTGTCCATTCTGCAGGTAGTCCTATCAGGAGGTCCTCAGAAGTCTCTAGGGTAGCTGACCATTAGCAAGGAAATTGTGTTAATTTTTTAAAAATGTTTTTTGCAAAATGATTCAAAGCCCAGAAAGTTCAATAATTCATACTCATGCCCTAGATATATTAGATTTCAGGAGAAATAATAGTATCAGAGATGACACAGATTGATGTTTTTCTTTAACCCTTTTGTAGGGAAGGAGGTCAGGCTATGTGAAATTGACATACAGAAATTTGGTATGTGATTTCACAGTGTTTGGATCCTAAAAGCCCCACTGTGAACCCACATCAAAAAAACATATACTGGTGCCAAAGAGCAGAGTTTCAAAATGGACAGAACTCAGGTGGAAGGCATTCTCCCTCAGCAAATGGCCAAGCTTATCCTTGGACAACAGGGAAGGGGCTGGGCACATGAGTCTTTTTCAGGAGAGAATGTACCAATTTCCCATTCCCAACCCTGTAGTAAGGTAGGCAAAGTGGGTGGGCAGCAGGCAGCAGCCTGGCAGGTCATCTATGCCTGTCCAGAGAATTCACCAGAAGGAGTTTATCATGGAAAGGGAGTGAAAATCAATGCCCAGGTGTAGAGAAGAAAGATGGCCCTGATTCCAGCTTATTCTGGGCTAAGAAAGAGAACTATTTCTAGAATAAAATTCCAGTGAAAGCCCTTCATGCCTTTTTGTCCACACCTGGGAGCCTGCTTGTTTAGAGAGAGCCACATTGGATGTAAACACCAAGATGTCTGTCCAGAGCAGACAAACCAATGCTATTGGTGGAGCTGAGTCTCTGCCTACACCTCTTCTCCCCCTTCAGCAAGCACCATATAGAATGGGGGAGACAGAAGCCATGTTCCAGGAACATATCTATAGCTCATTTTTTTCACACCTGATACATTTTTTTGGTCTTTGCCCAAGAAGATGCATTCTGCATCCCTCCTCTGAGAGCCTCAGGCTTCACCATAATGCTACCAGGAAGCATTACAAACATCCCTTTCAAAATCTAAAGTGACAATTTGAGTGACCTCAGATGTTGCCATCCAAATTTTTTTGTTTCTTCTTTATGTTGTCTCCAAAAAAGAAAATACAAACTCAAAATAAGACTCCCATTTCTATCACTTTTTATACTATCAGATGAACCCCAGGGTCTTGGTCGTGGCATAATTTGGTGTCGTGGGCAGTTTCCCTCTCAGGAAACCTTCCCTGAAGCCCCCACCCCAAAATGATTGCTTCTTTAGCTGAGCTTGTAGATCACTATATTTGCTATGTTAGTGGAAACATAGCAAGCATTCTGCATCCTTGTGAACAACTTGAAAAGCATCACATTTTATTCATCTTCATTCTCCAGGTGATTTAATTGCAAATGGTTTTAGCAATACTCATTTTTGAAGCTCAACAACATGTTCAAAGTTGTACATACCAGACAAAAGAAAGCCTCATGGGTGCTTTTTTGCTTATACAAGGTCGGGAAAAACAGATTCATGACAAAAGGAATCTTTGGACAGATCTACTTTTGATTAATCATTAACACTGCACTCATTCCCTCTCCCATCAGTTATTGCCTCACAAACAAATGCAAAGAAATTTCTAGACAACTGCATTTGTTTTAACTGAGTAAGGAGAAAAGGCAAAACAAAACACAAAACAAAAGGGAGGGATTGCTAGAGCCCTGCTGAAATCCAGGCCCTGGTAAAGCTAAGGATGTGCTGATCAAGCAAAACCCCTAAACTGCCCACAAAGGCCTCCAAGGTGAGTCAGCTGAAAGGGGATAATCCAGAGGGGGCTGATCACCCAAGCTCTAGAGGCCACATAGTCACAGACCAGTGGAAAACAGGGGATAATGAAAGCTTAGCCCAGCATTGTGAAGAGAAAGTTCACAATCAAGACCATCAAGGTAGGGTCTGTGCTATCAAAGAGATCCCCTACTCCCTCTTATGCGTTGTGGGCATTCATGCAGTTCAACTTTGGATAAGGGTGTGGATATTAAGACTTGTCAAGTGGCTTAGAGACCCAGCTGTTGGGTGGGCCATGGAGGTGGGGTAACTGATACTTTAAACAAGGCAATCAACCACATTACTATTAATTCTATAATTAATAAACCAATTATAGAAAAATTATGCTATTGTGGTTCCTAGGGGTGAGGAAAGCAGGAAGCAGTGAGAAGAACCCACATAGATGCATAGTAGGTGCTAAGAACAGATTCACTGAATCAAAGCAGAAGAAACAGACAGTA